ATTCTAGTGGAGGTTCTATCTCTTTTGAATTTCTTTTGAATATAAATTAAATACTGTACTTAATTGATTTATTATTGCCCACTTGAATTGTATAGCCCTAGATGCTGCAGTTGTCTTTATGTAGAGCGCCATATATAAATGCTCGATGTGCTTATCCGGGTCCGATGGCACCTTCAATTTCAAGCAAGTGTTGCAGAGACTCTGGAGTTAGGTTGCATATGAGAATGAAGAAGATAATTCTGATAGCAACATTGATTTATTGCTTTAAGTACGGTACTGCGACAATAACATTCAGAGGCGAATTTAGAAAGTTTAGATAAAAAGTATTTATTAAAGTTTTCACAGGTTTGTTTTAACGCCAGTTTGTGTTACCTATCTATGTAACTTAATTCATTCTAATTAAAGAGAGAAACGGGTTGACCAATAACAGGACCTTAAAATGTTTGCTATAGATCGACTACAATGTACGTTAATATGTAATACATTTAAATCAATTTAGATCAGTCTTAATGATGTGATTTTGAATTTTTCAGAAGCGAATTTAGGGTGGGGGAGGGGGTGGGGAGTGGTGAAAAAAAAAGAAAAAAAGAAAAATTGATCGCCCAAACGAATAAGGTTATTTTCGGGCGTCAGCAACTAAAGAACATAGGGCCTAGGCTATTTAATATTATGATGTAGCTGGGCATGTATTTTATGGTGATAGATTAATTAAAAGAAGTTTAACATTGTTCTGTGTATATTATTTGAATTTCTTCAATTTCAAACGAACGGCCCCTGATTTTCCTGTAATTTTTGCAGTATTTCAAATGAATATGTACCATATAACTGTCTTCTAATCGGATTAAAATCTGGCCGAATTTTGGCCGATATTGAAAAAAAGTTTGGCCGAATTTGGCCGTGAGATGGCGTGTGTTTGGCCGTGAAGCCTGTCGACTATCTGGCAACCCTGCTGCCGCTATAAGTTTTATTGCTCAAAGAAGAACTTAATGTATCAACAGAATAGTCAAATTTGAGTTGTGATGAAGAAGATTAAAACAGAAAGTAGATACCAGTACCGAATGTTCCAAATCTATTTATTTATTTAGTTATTTATTGTATTGCTTCACCAGCCGTCAAGAGCTACATTTATTATTCACCACATAAAAAATAGTAATGCGTAGGCCTAGGCCAGTGGCGGTCCAGGAATGCAGCATAAAAGGGGCCCAGGAAGGGGGGTTTTACAGGTCAACCGCAGATACCACCTCAACACCCAACAAAGGTGTATACGTACTAGAGTCTGAGGTAGGCCTAGGATAGCCTACGTTCATTCTATCTCGACTTCGATAGCAGCATATGCCATTATAGAACAAAATTATTATTTTCTTATTTAGATTTATTTTACTGAATCTAAACAGTAGGCCTATATTATTGTAATGTATTTTGGCGTAATATATGTGGAAATAGTTTTATTAAGAAAGTAAAAAGAGAGTGACAAAAGTATTGCTTACCCGCCTCGTCGCCATACACTTCACGTCTTGTAAGCAAAAACAGGCCTGTAATCCACAGGTACCTAAATGTCGTCATTGTCTATCTGGTTTCGAACTGATGTAGTAGGATTTACAGACCTAACCTACTCTCCTGAAAACTGTGTCAGTGAAGTCTATTTTTGTTGAAAGCGCAGACCCTATATTCGTATATAGGTTCTCTGGTGGAAGTAAGTGCACAATAGACAGTTAATTACATCCGCTAAATTTCCCAAATTCAACAACCACATATACTACGTCAGTCATGGGATGGTCATAGCTGACGACTCCTTACTAGATGCTAATAGGTTGGTAATATTATTGGTGTGGCTTTAAGATACCGTACACTGTATGAATTGTCCAATCAGGTGTTTTTTTCTTTCATTCTTTCACTGTATTCACTTAACCATATCCTTGTGTATACCAGATCCAACAATGTCATTCAAAAGCAAGTCTTAACAATGTACTTATTTCTGAGGCACCAACTTATTATTATTACGTCACGTATTATGTTTGTGTGATTAAGCCTTCAGTCCAGACGGTTCATGTATTGGAACATCGAGCGAGCAAATCGCATAGTAGGCCTAGGTCTAACATAACAATAAATATCAATAATTATATTCTGTTTTTTTAACTTGAACAATACTGTTTTTCAAGTGGCATGAAAAACCCCGTTATTGATTTTGCAATATATTGTATGATATTTGCTAAATTATTTTGTTCATCTAAGTTCATTTCATTAAGTTTGGAGAATAACCCATTTGTAGTGTCCTTGTGCTGAAATATGCGTATGGGTGTGGTCCGTCACTACCTAGCATCCGTAAAGAGGCGCTTATTTGTAGCTACGTGCTCACATCAACTACGTGAGCTGAAATGAACCATAACATCAAGGTAACCCTCTACACTTTGAAAATATGCAATCGGTTCTTTAAAGTGCACACGAGCCAGATGCATGGGCGTCGATCGGTAGGGGACAGGAGGACACGTCCTCCCACTTTTGATGTAGGGGGACATCATATCAATTGTCCCCCCCCCCCCACTTTTCACGAATCTTCTTGGAAAGAATAACGATTACACATGACTGTCATGAAATTTGTCTGTTCATTTTTCCAAGTGCGGTACATATTTCCGGACCAAAACCGAGTAAAAACGCAATTGTTTGTACATTTCCTAACCATCTCAGTAACCCCTACATCGATTTTATGGATGCAACGGGAAAGGTTATCAGAGGCTATATTTATTGTGAAAACAATGTACTGGTACGGTACGTTGTTAAAATTGGAAGCTTGTAAACTTATTAGGCCAATATTTTTACAAACTCAAAAGTGCACAATTTTTACTATAACCGATTTATTCCTTTTGTATTTATTATGACCCGTACTAGTGTAACTGCATACATTGGTTCCTCCTAGTTTAACAAAATTAGAGTTAGTCAATTGAATTTTATATAGCCGTTATTAAACAACAATTATACAGCCTTTTACACAGGCAGGTCTATCTATTTCAAATTATTTAATTAGTGATACCACGAGTTTACAAACTCCAGTGTTACGTTGACGCAATCTCGCAATGACGTCATAATAATTAGTGCCGGATTCAAGTGGGGCCGAGCCGATTCTCCCCTCCCTTAAAGTTTTCAAAATTTAAAAAAAATGCAAAGAAAATTATAATTAAAATTTTAAGTCTGAGAGTGCCATTTTAGGCCATCTAGGAGTGTCATAATAATACATTTTCTTACCGTACCTCAGCCCCAACATCGTGGGGCTGAGGTGACCTAGTTTCTCAAATTGTGAAAGTCTCTTCGTGTCCCCCTGTATTTCGCTTTCCCGGAGCCGCCACTGATAATGATAAATTAAGTAAATCACCTTTATGTTTTTGAAATCAAAATGTGAAGAACTAAGTAAAATTCAAAAAGAGGAGAAAAAGAAAAACATCTTGATTGATTTTAAAAGTACTGTACATGCTTATCAGTAGATATACATTATTTTTATGAATGTTAGTTTGCACGAAATATAAGCGGGCATAATTATGATTACCAGCATAATTTTAAAAACTTTATGATACTTGCACAAAAGTGAAATTCAAAAAGAGGAGAAAAGGAAAAACCTTGATTGGTTTTAAAAGAACTGTACATGCAGTATATAAGCGGGCATAATTATGATTACCAGGATAATTTTTAAAAATTCAAGGGGCCCAGTGGAAAAAAATAAAAGTGATTTAAATTTAGACTGAGAGTCTAACAAGCAAACCAGAGGTCCCGTAATCATAAATTTTCTCTACCTCAGCCCCAACCATGGTGGAGCTCCATCTTTAAACGTCCCTCCCTGGGCCTAGCTCTATTTCAAGTTTTGCCACTGTATTTTGAAAATGTAAGATGAAAATATAAGTTAATTGCATTCCTTAAAATCAATTAGAAACAATTTGTAAAAAGGCTATAGGCGCCACAGCTTCCGGGGGCTTCGCCCCACTGAACCCTCACCGGGGCCCGTGGCGGGTCCAGGAAGTCGAAATAAAGGGGACCCAGGGAGGGTATTGCGTAAATAAAATGTCCACCCACCTCATCCGCACAACTGTTGGGGCTGAGGTAAGAAAAAATATGATTATGGCACCTCCAGACTGACCGAAAATGGCACTCTCAGATTAAAAGTTGAATAACAATTTTGTCTGTTTTTTTTTATATTTATTTTGTTTTTATATAATTTTGAAAAAAATAGGAGGTGGGGGGGGGGCCTGTGCTGACAGGGTTTCCCCTTGAATCTGCCACTGTTCAATATATAACAATAGGATTGACATAGCCAATTTTCTATCACAAATGATTAATCCTAAAATCAAGCGAAAGATATTTTTATTTGAAAGATAAACAATAATAATAATAATAATAATAACAACAACAACAACAACAACAACAACAACAACAACAATAATAATAATAATAATAATAATAATAATAATAATAATAATAATAATAATAATAATAATAATAATAATAATAATAATGAGATTGCAGCGTTCGAAAAATGTTTGTCACAGGTGCTGGGAACAGTCACAAAAGTTAGGGGCCATCCCCCTCCCCCCATCCCGCTGGAACCAGCGCCGATGTTAAAGCTGTAGTTAGCGGCGTCCCTGCACTCGCCCGATCGACTCGCCCAAAACAAGCCTATGGGTATTTGGACGGTGCAATGCCTATAATTAGTTCACACAGTATTTTTGTGATGACTAGTAAGGTGGTAGGCCTATGAGGTGCTTTTTAACTGCTTAAGCGTCTGTTTTTTGCATCAGCGAATAAGTAAAGTTATATATAGCTAAAGTAAATCGCGGGGAAATATGTTGTTAGTTCCCGGTCTGTAATAATCTACCGTTTTTGCTTTCTCACTTTACCGCGATTTCGAAACATCCATGTCGGAAAGATATCTTGTGCTTTCCTAAGTGATCGTATTTCCTTATATGCACACCACAATATTTAATAAATTCATGCTGTTATTGTTGTCTGTAATTTATCTTTTTATCCTTTGATCTTTTTGAGAATTTTCTTTTCAACCTCAATGACAAAAAATCATTGGATCTTGTAAACACGGATATTGTAAATGTGTTTTTTTGGAATTCCAGAAGTGAAATTGTAATCTGAGTTCTGAGCTCCCCGGGATACAGGTAAAATGCACAGCGAGTGCCCGACCGATAAACGAATCGGTTTGGTTTTCTTGTCTTGTCTTGTCTTGTTTGGCAACGTGTAATGTTCTAATCTCATTTTCTTATACATAAATTCATGTTGTTGTTATTATTGTCTGTCTGTAGACTGTACGTTTAATCATTTTGATCCTTAAATCACTCTAAACACTTTTCTTTTTGGCTTAATGAAAAAAACACATTGAAGGTCGATTGGATTTAGTGGTAAACATTAAATCAGAATGTGTTTTAGGAATGTTTTATTTCCTTCTAGATAAAGTGAAGTAGGCATATCGGGGCTTGATCTACCTCACAGGCAATTGATCTGAAAAAAACAATGTTATGTGTTTTGACCCCTGTTGTTAAATGAATATGCCACGTAGAACAGTTATTTATTGGCATATCCTTGGCGCTCGTGCCTAAAGAAATGAAATGAAATGAGACCCATGACCTCAATACTGAGAGTGTGAATGCAAAGCACAGTCTCTTTAACTTTCCCGATAGTCCGATTAACAAATTTCCTTGAAATTTCCGTGAAATTGTAATCTGAGTTCTGAGCTATTTTTGTAAACTTTGAGTATTAGACCATTGACTATTAATGAATCAGACATAGATTCACATAGTACAATGGTAAATAAAAATTATATTTGTTAACTATTTTTTCTTTAATTTCCCCTTATTTTTTGTTTAAACAAATAATAATTACAATTAATAAATAATGATCGTTCATGAGTACAAATGCAGTATATATTTCCAGGTGGGATTTACTAACCATTTTCATTAGGTGAAAATGAAAGTTCCATGAAAGATTCATTCTCCATCCATATTCTATTTCCAGTTTACAAATGTGGAACATTCATTTTTTTCCCACAACCATCTTTGTCATTTAGGTGGTTTATATTGCTAAGATCGTTTGCGCTCACATACTAAACCTCGAAAGTAGTCAAGTACGGCAAATCTAGTTTAGGCCCGCATGTCCATTTCTCATGCAGCGTCAATGCATGGATTTAATAGTGTGTCCACTATGATCAGATAAACAAAGACCGTTTATTATTTTTTATGTCTTATTAAACATGTATACATTAAAGAGATGGCTAATAGACAACTGATTGTAGCCCAGTTAAGTTTACTTATTAAAAAACTACTAAGCATAGAATAATAATAATAACAAGGCAAGGTGAATTATCATATTACACAAGACAAATCAGGTTTCCAGACTACGTTGATACACCATTATATTATATTAATTCAAAGCTTTACTATATGAATTAGCTGATTGCATATGTTCAAGTTTAGGAGATTAACTATTACTGGAACTGGTACGGTAATCTTTGCCGTCTAAATTTAGACATTCGTCAGCTACTGACATTTATTTTAACTAAATATATCTGGTATTGGTAATAGTTGGGTAATTTTATAACTTTATATAATTTTTATAGCAATGCCACAAGACAGTTTATTTCTATCATACCATGATTTATATATATATATATATATATATATATACATATATTGCCTTATATATATATACATATATATATATATACACTACATAATTTATACCAACTTATATATATATACATATATATATATATACTACATAATTTATACAATTTCATATAAGCAAATAACATGTTATTCGTGATTTTCAAACTTACAGCCATTTGCTTTATAATGGTAACAACAATACATTAATTCTAATTGGTAGAATTAGCCGAGACCGAAGTTTTCTCGGTTGCGTAGCGTTGCTTTGAAGTCGTTGTTATAAACTGTCCTGGCTTTTGGCCAATCTTACAACAGAAATATGCCCATGAATCCCTCACATCTCGTCGACGAACACAGAAAAGTAGGAACACAAATAAACCCTGCAACGAGTTACAAACACAGAATATCAACTGGAACAAATCTCGGACAGTGTCGGATTCGTCTATTGCCAAGAACCCGAAAATCCATGTTAGGCCCAAAAGCATCATGATGGCAATTGCGTTCTGCACACGGACCGACAGTTCGCTCATTTTATCTTTGTCGCTCTTTGCCTTCGTAAACCTTCGTCGACATGTTAATTTTCGAATGACCTGAACATATATGACGAAGTTTATGATAAGAATAACTGCTGCAATGACCAGTAATCCCAGATAAAATTCCAAGCTGGGTTTCATAAAACAGCTAAAATATGAAGAGAAAATAAAGATTATTGAACTATATTTTTAGCCCAATATTATGACAATCAGCGGATTATTAATCTACTTTAATAGACCATACTAGTTTTATGGAGCCATTGATTATCTATTTAAAATTCTGTACTTGTTTGTTATCATGGCACCAGATCTCTGCGTAGACACTACTAAACGTTATCTGATGAATCCTGTCAAGTATCGGCGTATATGCAGAAAGAATAAGTAACGTCTATGTTGTCTATATAATAGCTATGGCAATATCATAACCATCACCACCATCGTTAGCATAATCACCGTCTTCATCATCACCATCATAATCATCACCGCTATCATCATTACCATTATTATAATCATTATTATATTGATATCGTCATCGCAGTTATCATTGTCATTACAATGTTCATTACCATTACATTAAGAATACAGTAGTTGGGAAGAACACAGCAAACTTTGTTAACAGATCATATCCAAGTACAATAAATGTGTATTCACGAATAGTTAAAACAATACACAACACTTACTATTCGTCGTTGGAATATATCTCCTTGTAGTTCATGGACGCAATTATTGCAACTGGTATAATAGGTACACCTGTTGATTACAAGTAGGGCCTATTATTAATCTTATTATTTATACAAATTATATTAAATATACTTATACAGACCAAAAATGGATCTAAGAAATTTAACTTATTCGGCAGTAGTATTGTTTCCACTGAATATGTGAAAATTGTGTTTTCTATAAATAATTGTTATAACCTTTATAAGTAAACTAATGTGATTTATATAGGGTACTGTAACGTTTACGTTCTTAATATTTCAGATGAATTTTTTAATTTATTTTTATTTGCAATAATCGGTAGAAAATAAGCCAAATGTGGAGGGATGAGATTCTAACAAGTGTTTTCATTGTCCCCCCCCCCCATCGGTTATTGTTAGGAAAGAGCTCGAATACATTGGGAAAAAGACCTTCAAACAGTTTCTGATATTTATAACATTTATTTTTTCTATAATGTATAAATACTTTGTACTTCATATGATTCAACTTGTACTAATTCTGATACAACCTTATTCTGTTCGTAAACACGTGCAAGTCAGAATGAGCTTGGGTAAACTTACCCCAGCCAAGGAGTGCGGACTTCAACATAAAGCAACGTATTTCTTCGTAAAATATCAAAACAAATTTTAGATACATATTTATCGCTTCAACAAGCATCCACGACAGCGACGTTAGAACGAAGTAATGCAACATGATGGCCACGACAATACAGCAATTTTGACAACTCGTCAACTCAATCCCGATGACAAAAGTTAGATACAGAAACAGCAGAGAAAAACACAAGTTAATAAGTATCCGTTGAGGGCGCTTTCCTCGTAAGTGTCTGTAGAGATATTAATTAAATGTTGATTAATTTCATTTATTCGGAGAAGATATAATTTATATTAAAATTGTACATTAATAAATTAAACATAAATACATTCAGACGTTTATAATTGAAGTCAGAGCACGCTGTCCCCTATAGCGCCTATCCAATCACACTCGAAGTTCACTTCTTTATTTATAGATTACTGTATTTCAGATGAACTCAAAGGTCAGATGAAGTTATGGGGCCCTCTTTAAAATTTCAATAAAATACATAACATATACAATTAAACTTTAGTTTCAGTTATGGAATGTTAATTTGAAGAAAAAAAATCCTCTTCATGTTTTCAAGTGATTTTTTTCAAAAATGTTATTGTCGATGAAACGGACTTTATTGATGTACTTAAAAAAAGCAGTAGGTCAACGAAATAAGAACATAATTTGTTAACTTACTTGAAGTACATAAATGTAAAAATAGTGATAACCAAGAAGACGATAGATATTACACATCCTATGATGCTGATGTAGGTCAAAGCATCTTGAAACCTCGTGGTTGGACCGGCTTGACCAGAATAATCCTTTTAATTATTGAGTAAACCAGTTTAAATATTGAGTAAACCAATTTAAATATTGAGTAAACCAGTTTAAATATTGAGTAAACCAGTTTAAATATTGAGTAAACCAGTTTAAATATTGAGTAAACCAGTTTAAGTATTGAGTAAACCAGTTTAAATATTGAGTAAACCAGTTTAAATATTGAGTAAACCAGTTTAAATATTGAGTAAACCAGTTTAAATATTGAGTAAACCAATTTAAATATTGAGTAAACCAGTTTAAGTATTGAGTAAACCAGTTTAAATATTGAGTAAACCAGTTTAAATATTGAGTAAACCAGTTTAAGTATTGAGTAAACCAGTTTAAATATTGAGTAAACCAGTTTAAATATTGAGTAAACCAGTTTAAATATTGAGTAAACCAGTTTAAGTATTGTTTAAACAAAATATTTTCTACTTGTGTGGGTGTTTAAGGCATAGATATTGAATACATATAAAAAAAAAAACATCTCTTAGTGAATGTGGTGGTTTTTAAAAAGGAATGTAATGAAACAAACCAAAATAACAGCAAAGTTTGTTAAATGGTCACAGAAGCATACGACACGGCCGTCGGATGTTTCGTTGTAAACACAGCCTTCGTTGGACCAGTCGCCTTGTCCGTTTTCCAAATCAAAGTCCCAAAAAACGCATTCAGGATTCCCATCAGCGCCTTCCTATAAGAAGTAACAATTCTACAAATGTTGTAATTGTACTGACAAGGGAATTGAGCTAAGGCTATAAGGCAAGACAGACGTTGGCAAATGTAACACTTTGCAAATTTTGTAAAATAATGTTTACGTCTACAGCCTTCGGGACGAAACCTATAAGCCAATTTGTAGTTTGAACTGCAAATGCACGTATGCAAGCAAGGTCAATCCATGAAAACCTATGTTATGAATATATCTGTTTATATCGATTAACCTTGATTCGAGCATGCGCAGTTGGCTTTTCACTTAATCTCTTTAGGTGTGTCCCTTTGAAGAGTGGTATCTTAAACGATCACCAATCAATCAATTTATTCACTCATATGATATGCAAAAACATTTAGCTTTGTCCACACTATCAAATTTTCTTTGACAAAAAACTGTTGTATGCCCTTATATAGTCATGATGTGCCCATATATAGTCATGATGTGCCTATATATGGTCATGATGTGCCCATATATAGTCATGATGTGCCCATATATAGTCATAATGTGCCCATATATAGTCATAATGTGCCCATATATAGTCATGATGTGCCTGTATTTGGTATTGATGTGATGTCATCATGACTATATTTAGGCATGTCACATGTTTTTGTCAAATAAAATTTGATCGTCTGGACAGGGCTTTATACGGTATATGTTGGCGATAGGAACAGTAAATTAAGTAAACATTGTTTAATAAATTTGTTCCTCTCGCGCGAATTACAGATATCTACAATACACAAAAAACAATACATAACATAGGCCTAACTATAGTTCTCTAGGTCTATATTTATTAAGTAATTTCTCTGTAAAGCACCTGAAGAATTCGTGTGTTTGATGGAAGTAACCAGAGCTTAGGACAGTAGTAAAAAAATATATTTTTTGTCTCAACGTTGTGTTATATGATATCAGTTTTAAGTGTATCTTATATTTGTTGAGACGTGGGAAACAAGATTGTACCTTTCTAGGAAGGTTGAACAAAATTTATAATCAACTGAAATGTAATTTAATATCATTCATATAGGCTTTGAATACAAACGTATACACTTACAATCTTAAAATTCCCAGATTGTTATAAATCAGTCATGGTTTTTTTTTTTTTTTTTTTTTTTCTTTCTTTTTTATTTCTTTTTCTTTTTTTTTTCTGTTGTTGAAAGTATTGTTTTTTTCAAGTAAATTGAAAACTAAAACAATACCATCAGTGAACTGTTGAGGATATATCGGGAATAATATATGTGTATTCATATATATTTTTTGGAGAGGTTATTGAATTCACGGAGTAATGGCCGACGATACCCTGTTGTAAGACTCTACAATAACGTATCTAACGAGTGTATAATAATTATTATTGTAAATTCAGAATGTTGAACTCACCACAACTGGTAAGTAGGCAGCTCTGACCGGTTCCTTCAACCCTGCCACAGTTACTCGCTCTACAGCAGCCGATATGACGCGACTTCCGATCGTTCTAGTTTTGTTAGACATTAGACGATTAGATGTAAATAGCTTAGAAGTTTGATAGATGGTGAAGCTCACTTGTAGATCATTTGAACCTGCTTGTTCTTGACTCTTAGTGACAATTTCCGGTGGTAACGCGATTGATGTTTCAAACATCTCCATTAAATATGCATCTACGTCTTCAAATTGTTTTATATTTTCTTGTTCAAGGCTGTTACGAAAGTTACCATTCATCGGTTGGATGGAACCAAATCCGATTCCATTTTCCAAAGCTGCTGGATCGAACATCATCGTCTGTACAGCTACATTGTCCTGGACGTCTCTGAAGTTCGTAAGTGAAGATAGTTGAGCCTCTAGGGATTTCACGATTCTTGAAGAAGCAATCATACTCTGGTTGTCTGCCATAAAGAGGTCATCGTCTGCATCTTGTACATTACTGACAACTTTCACCGTGAACATTGTTACCTGCAAGTAAGTGAAAATCCAATAGCATATTTATTTTCTAATAAATTGGCATGTGGGCCTAGATTACTTTATGTAACACTAACTTTATGTAGACTGTGTGCCAGAACTGTGCAGGCGGAAGGTGTTGAAATACCTGCGCAGACAATCCAACATCACAGGTTTTTAGCGCGTGATACAAAAAATATCGTACGCGCGCTTACATAAAAGTTAGAGATTCTGCGTATTATACGTAATTCTCAAAATCAATTATCTTATGAATGCTCAAGCTCGGGTTTCTACGTAATTTGTGAGAAATTGCTATGCTCAATGCATATACTACAACCACTGCGGGTGTGTTTGTCTGAAATAATTGGTGTAGATTACTATACGCAAATTATTCTTTTGGGATCTGTGAATAGTAAATTCAGAGTTCAAAATAAGTTTGTGTTTAGCAGCCTAGCTTGCTTATATTTTACTCGTAACATGTTTCTTGTGGCTGGTAGTACCCAGATATGTCGCCATACCCTTTTTATAACTCGCTTTTCGAAAAGAAAAGTACTCCTAACTTACATTTTGATTGCCTGCTCCTACTTCAGTTACTCTTTCTAAAATGGTGGCAACATCATTAAGGCTAAGTTCGTCATTCTCGTCCTCTGTGAAGATTGACAGTTTCCTAGCAACGTCTTCGACATTCTTCTCCGTCACAGTCACCTTCGAAATTAAAGTCAAATTAATAATTTAAATAATATTACGGTTTTAAAATTAACGGTATGGACGCGATACGGAAACAAAAGAAAAAAACGAAGCCAAACAAGAGATAGAGTGATCTTTTCCAGAAAGAGCTTGGAGTAAACTGGGCAAATCTGAGAAAGAATGGGCTGCTGCTGCTGATAATGATGATGATGGTTGATAATTGAAGATTATGATGATGGTGATGATGATGATGATGATGACGGTTTTTATAGGGCACCGTGTCCACCTAATTACCCCGGTTTTAGAGTCAAATGGAATTTATACTGGTGATTATATGATGGTGGTGATGATGATGACGGTTTTTATAGGGCACCGTGTCCACCTAATTACCCCGGTTTTAGAGTCAAATGGAACTTATACTGGTGATTATATGATGATGATGATGATGATGACGGCTTTTATAGGGCACCGTGTCCACCTAATTACCCCGGTTTTAGAGTCAAATGGAACTTATACTGGTGATTATATGATGGTGATGATGATGATGATGATGATGATGATGACGGTATTTATAGGGCACCGTGTCCACCTAATTACCCCGGTTTTAGAGTCAAATGGAACTTATACTGGTGATTATATGATGATGATGATGACAGCTTTTATAGGGCACCGTGTCCACCTAATTACCCCGGTTTTAGAGTCAAATGGAACGGTATCGTATAATAATTAGTTGTAGACTACCAACGTCATAAGATCTATTATACTATTAAGTCTATATTAATAGTAAACTTGGGTAAAACACCAAAAAATGTACGGTTTGCCTTCAAAATTAATTCTACCTTATGGACTTGAAAATGTTGGTGGCTATAGGGTTTGGTCTCCAATTAAGGCATTAGCTTTAATACTAAACGATTGAAGATTGCAAGTTGGTACAGAACATCGGAACAGTGGTCTCGAATTTGAGAGGTCTTCGCGAATTGGAGTCCGAACCAAAGATCGTATAGATAGCTGCGCTATACGATCTTTGTCCGAACTGTGTATTCGATTTTAGTTAGCACGCCCTCAAGACTTACCTGCGCTAACTCGTTGATATCATCGATGTCACATAGACCTTCCGAAACTATAACTTCTCCCCAGACTGAACCTCCTCGCGGATCAGAAATACACATGCGCGTTGCCCGGGCTGACCGAGGATCTGTGTTAATAAAATTCTACACATTACAACAATGTCCCAGCTAATTTATGGATGGTAGTACTGATGATGACGATGCAGACAAAACAGAAATAAAAAGGCAGTGCCAAGGAAGTTGTTGCAAAGAACACCAGCGGGAGCGTGTGTCTATGCCCTATTCTGTCTTATTCTGTACAGGTATTATGTTTACTAATAAAGTATCCACATGTAGGGATTCGGTTGTCAGGAAATATGTGGTGTTGTTTACAGTGACTTTTTAGTAAGCTTTCTAGGAGGTCTTATATCGATTTTTATTTTTAGCTCATGCCATCATTCCTCTATACCGGATTTACACTATCTTACATGGTTAACTACCGAAGGGGCATAGACTCAAAAACGACACCTTTAAGACACTACGCCTTGATCACTCATTTTTTTGGGGTGGAGATATGCACTATGAAAGTCCTAATAATATTATTTATTATTAGTACTATTATTGTTATGGTAGCGGTTGTGATAGTGGTGGTGATGGTGATGATAATGATGATGATTATGACGGTAATGGTATTGGTGGTGGTGATGATGATGTGGTTGAAGGTGATTACGATGATGATGATGTTAATGATCATGATTTTGTACATTTTACTCACTATTTTCCTCTAAACCACACATTTCAAGTGAGTTAGCCAAGAAATTTGCCGGTGAAGCTTCAAATGTGTACGTCACACCCTCTATCACCACAACGTTATACGGACAAGGATCTGAACAATAGTGATAACAATAATACATTCACAAATTAAAATTCATGATGGTGATGACGATATATAATTCTATAATTAATATCTGCAGTCTGCTTATGTTAACTTTCAGTGTTTTAGGCCTAGCCTAAATTATATAATTAACATTCACATTTACGAGTTGTTTTGAAAATTTAAATATAAAACAAATATCCAAGATACCAGCAATATATAATACTGTATTGTGAATACCACCGCCATCATCATTATCATCATCATAATCATAATCACCATCACCGTCGTTATCGACATTGTCTTCGCCGCCGTCATCATCACTGTCAACATTTACCCCGCCACCACCACCACCACATAATTTCAATTCAGTACGCATTTACTAACCATTGTATTCGAGAAAGACAGAAAAGAAATCGGCTTTTTTCGGATCACCTGAAAACAAAAATACAGTTAGGCTAGAGGTCATTTACTAAATCCTCTAAAAACCAATTAACCTAAATAGCTAGAATTATCAATTTTTCACCACATAGAACACAGTCGGAATCAATCATCTCAGTAATAATAAAATTACATTATATTTATAATGTACAGGTTGTTGTGTACAGCTAGTAATTTTTAATTATAAATGTTTAACTTCACTCTAATTTTGCGATGTCTTATTGTCTGGATGGATTTTTTGGTTGTATTATAACTGGATTATATTTTTAATGTAATTATTCATCATTCATCAATTTAATGTTTTTGAAGCAATAATAATAATAATCAATAATAATGTTTTTATTAATTTTTCTGCAATTTTAATGTAATTTTCCTAATGGTGTTATATATGCTTTTATTGTCATGATTGTGCAGTGGTTTAGTTTTCGTTATTTTCCATTTTTGCAATTCAGCATTTTGCATTTTGACTGCCATGTTTTATGTTTTTATGAATTTTGAATTTTGATTTAATAAATACCATTATATAGGCCTATATATTTTAATTTATCAGAAATCAACCTTTAAATTCTCTGTCTGGACGGATTGCAATTAACATCGATCCATTGCCCACGTTGCAGTTCTATATATATAATCGCTCACAGTTTTTGAGAGTTACGTTAGATCTCCATTAAAGAATATTGTTATGTTACTAATTACGAATATTATGATTCTGTTATGTATAAAATGTTAATATATACACTTAAAAATAATAATAATAATAAAGATGCATTGTCCTCTAAAAAAATCATAAAAAATAATTTTGACATTAACTTGCTAATTTTTCAGTAAAATACAAATTATTAACTTGAGTATAGAAATTACTGAATTAAAAAAAAAATGTGTACCCTGATTTTTTATACTGGATGATGATAAAAATAATAACACTTTCTATCATTTTTCGCAGTAAACATATGGGTAAACATTACTCAAATACACACATTTTTATGTAAGAGTTGATAAGGTTTATGTTATTTCAAAAAAGTTAATTATAAAAATGATTTTTATGATTATTTTTTAGTATTTTTCATTGGACAATACATCTTAAATTGTATTTTTATGGAAAAATTATTATGGAAATACTTACCTGTCTGCCAAACTACGCTACCTCTTGTCGGAGAGAACATTATTTGTGGATATTTCGAATGCACGTTCCATGGACACCTTCCTTTGGCAGTTATCGTCACTGTCCATCCTTTATCGTTTGTGCATCCATTATAAATCTCATTTATAAACCAATGTCGACTATGTCCACCGTCATCGTGGCTGAAAGAATAGTAGAATTTAAGAATAATTAATATATGTATACCGTAAAACCTCGAAATGAAGCCCAATGGGCTTAGTCTCGAGAAGAAGCCCATCTCGAAAAGAAGCCCGTGGGCTTTTTTTTCAAGATAGCATAGGCTTCTTTTCGATGTACATAAACTGTACATAAGTTTTAGAAAAAAATTAATTAATTAAAAACACTTGGTATATATAGCATTTTATGTGATTTTATGCCAGTTAATACACTCCTTGATGCAGATTGAAATTTACAGCATTCGTTTTGAAAAGAAGACCCCCCCCCCTCTTTACTTTGCAAAATTAGCCTCGAAAAGAAGTCCATCTCGAAAAGAAGTCCATCCAAAGTTCGAATTAAAAGAAGGCCAGGGCTTTAATTTCATTTCATTTATTTAGGCACGAGCGCCAAGAATATGGCAATAAGTGAACTTTATCACTGTACTACGTGACATATCCATTTTAACAACAGGGGGCTTATTAATGTACCCTTAATTCGAGGTTTTACGGTGTACAGTTTGACATAGTGGCTTATTTAAAATAAATATTAAAGATAAATAAGTGGTGGTGGTGGTGGTAGTGGTGGTGGTGGTAGTAGTGGTGGTGGTAGTGGTGGTGGTGGTGGTATCTACCACCACACTTCTTCCCAATGCTGCTGCAGCTTTATCATCGCTGTGGAACGAATTGCCACTCTCTATCAAACTGTCTCCCACAATTGATTTATTTAAGTTAAAACTGAAATCCCATCTCTTTAACTCTATCTAGACCATCCCCCATTCGCATTGTCAATTTTAAAAATCTTTCTCTAGTTGTACTCTCTGCGCTTTTGATCATTTATTTGAAATTAGCGCATTATAAATATTTAATTATTATTAACGGCGGAACCACTTTTTTATATAGAAAGTCTGAAGATTTACAGTAGCACTAAAAACTTTGGCGTTAAGTTCAAATTTAAGGTGGTTCAATGTAATGGTGATTTTGTAGTGGTGGTGGCAGTGTTTGTAATACTGGTGGTGCAAGGTAAGAAAGTAGTATAACTATTTTGTTTACCCTTCTATTGAGAAATGACGTGTTGTTTCTCTGTTGAAATCATTGAATGAGGTTGACATCACTTTTTCTTTAGCAAACCAATCCATTTTGTTGGTATTTCTGCCATCAAATATTACGTATGCTTCTTCTACGCCATTTTTGTAGATAGAAAATTTAACCTGCAATTAGATACACAGATTATGTGATAAGCCTGGTTTCATTAAAATCGATACATTGTCGCTATAACGTTGTCAATGCAAGTTGTGTACTGCGTAGCAGTCCCTTACGCAATCGAGAAGGATTCCCGTTTCGACCGACCAATCAGCATCGCCGAAAGCTGAAGGCGATAGCGTGTAGCGATTGCATGGAAACCAAACTTTATTTGTTTGTTTTAACAAAAGAAGGTTGAATGCCAAATCGATATTAAAATTGAGTACAAATTATGAAAAATTTCATAAATACAAATCGTCATATAAATATGCTTAAATATTTAATAAATGGTTTTAAGACTAGAATGAGTGTGATGAAAACCATCGCGATTTTATGCTTCGAACTTTATTTGTTTATCTTCAAATTAATGGTAATAATGATAATAATTTAGCGCCAATTCGATCAAGTTACTGTATTCATTCAACGGCGTTTCTTACGCGATCATGCAAAATATTTAGTCATGTTCCACGAGTATCAAAGGATAGATTCCAGTCGTGTTGCATGACTCCGCATGGATTAAGTGATACACATCGCAGGTACTCATTTAACTCCTGAGTGAAGAGGATGAATGTCAGAATGCCCCAGGATACACCAAACGGCCTGCATCAGTCCGTAAGCCATGATTTCTTGGAAGCCATAAACCTGAAAGTCGGACGTCTGTGTTAGGCAATGAACGGTATAATGAACTTACGCAATATAAATAATTCTGCCAAAGAGTAAACACCAATGAATTGTGCAAGGTTCTCGCAGCAGGCGCGAAACACCCTAAGACAGTAAAATACAACCAAAGATGGAAGTCTTGTGAACCGTGAAATCCTCTCATAGATGGTTTTTGTTATTCTTTGAAATTTCCTTTGTAGGTCTATTGTTTAGGAATTAAAACTTCATGCAAGTTCTAACAGCTTCAAAGTGAACAGTAAATTTTGAAATGCCTTAAGTGTTTGTCGGCAATGCATTCTCGCTTTATTGGATCCTCAGAATTATATAATTTTCTGTTTGACATTTAAATTAACAAGTGAACCATTGAGCTGTGGTAAGAATCGAATGAAAATAAGATCATTTAATTTGATTCTGGTCCTTAAACTTCATTGTTTCTTTTGTCGGTCATATTTTTGACTTCTTGTGGAGGGGCGCCATGAGCGTTTTCTTTAAACGGACACCGGCCCTTTAAAAGTTCTCATTATGATTATTATTATTATTATTATTATTATTATTATTATTATTATTATTATTATTATTATTGTTATTGTTATTGTTATTGTTATTGTTATTATTGTTATTGTTATTATTGTTATTGTTATTATTATTATTAGATTGGGATTGGGAGCAATACGCAAAGGGTTATCATACACAAACGAGGATCATGCTTAAAGGAGTGTTATACTCATACCTCCCTGGACTTACTCACCACAGACCTATGGTCCTTATCATTAATAAATTCTTCATCAAGATAATTTTAATTATCCTACCATATTAAAATAATAATTACCGTATAATTATAATTAGTATTATTATTATAATATTATTAATAATAATATATCTCTTCACACAGTATTGTAACTGTCTCTTATACACATCTTACTGTTTTGCAAATGTTAGGTATTGTGGATTTGCAATTGTGGTGCATGCGTCTCGCACCATGAATTTCATAGATTAACCTGCCTACTACTGTAAGACTTATACATAGATATACTTAGGTTGGTTACCTCACATGTCGGTCTCTATGGCCTTAGTGATCGTCCCTTCCCATGATGCATAGTTTACTTCAGAACAGGGGTATGCGGATAATTAACGACGCTGTTCGTGGAGAAACGTCGAGCTCTTATATTGAAAGAGTATTACATGGTATTGTTTTCAATGTAATTTTAACCTATATTGGCCCTTATTGGTATTTACTCCAATATAACTATTACATTGAATTGAAATAAGGGATTTTTTTTTCCGCTGTACTATTGCTCAATCACCATCAGATAACCCCACTGAAAATACTTTTTTTTCAGACTTTTGTGGGTTACCCTTGGTGTTTACACTGAATAAATAAATTCTTTAATCCATCTATATTTGAACATATGAGCTTCATCTTACCCGTCGAATTTCGATCTCCGACCACCTGTCTACCATCGGACTTTTGAAGTGTGCTTTAAGGTTGTCATTTAGTGCACGTGCTGAGTCGTTCAAGGCGTTTAACGAGCCGTCATCTCGCCACAAATGATACAGATCTGGATCACCAGCTTCAGATACACCTTTATAAACCAGATGCCATCCTATAGCGATAAAATCATCATCAGTTAGGCATAATGCGTACTATACCATTCTATATACCATTCTACCATTTTATATATATTCCGATGAAAAAAATATAAAATAAAATATTAGGCCATGCATACACGAAACAACAGGATATCGTTTATTCGAGTAGTCTGAAGAAACTGGCTTTAAAGTAAAACATCATTTTAAGGTGGCTTGTAAGCCAAACGATGCCCCTCTCCCACCTAGGTTTATTTCACCTAAGAGTCGTACGATTTCTACGAGTTAAAACTCGTGATCTTTGGAAAGGACCTATACGAGCTTATTACGTGTTAGCTACGAGTGAGGTACGAATTTATGGATTTGGTTACGAGTTCTGTACGAATTATGCCGAGCAGAGCACCGAGTTAACTACGAAATTATTAAGAGCGTAACAAGTTTGTACCGAATTAGATACGATTCAACTCGGTGCGCTCGTACTTACTCGTACTCGTTTTTGGGTGCTCGCATCAAACTCGTAGATGACAAAACCGCCGATGAGTATCCAGAGTAGTGTACGAGCTAGGTAGGAGTACTCCGAGTACTCTACGAGCTACCTACGAGTTCTTCGCGTTTACTACGAGTTATCTACTCGTATAATTTTGAACATGTTCAAATTAGCGCCACGAGTTCAGAGCTGCTACGAGTAGGTAGGAGTCCTCTCCGAGCTTTTCGAATCGTCCTACGAGTTTCTGCCGAGTTAGCAACTCGGCATTCTCTTGTAACTCGTATGCTGAAAAAAACCCCTAGTGGGAGAGGGGCAGCCAAGATCCCGATTTCGAAAGAAAGGGATATGATAAAGCAAACTACCGGGTACCCCCCTACTTACACCAAACCAAATAGATAATGAAATTTACCGTCTTATTACGTTTTGTTACCTATTCAACAAGAAAAGTACGTAACATTCATAGCGAGCCCTCCATGTCATGCCACCAGTATAGGCCTATATTCCTGGAATTAGGACAAAGGGGGCCGAGATTACAATAATAGTGGTATCTCTTTGGACTAGGCCGTTCATTTCTTACATCAACAAAAACTAAGCCTTCTGTATATCAAATACGAGTGACCATAAACTCTTCACACAGTATTGTAATGTCAGTTCTCAGAACCCACATAACATTGACTCATGGTGAAAGAATTAGGTTGCATCTGTTGTTATGTTTCATTATTGGGATTTAATGACTGCCTACTGATTTCATCCGTATTAACGTATTGTGTTTGGCAAAGTCAGATTCATATAATCTATGTAGACGAATGTAGGCCTACACAAGGGAACAGGGTTGAAAGACGCGTCTAGTCTTGTGGCCCAAGGTTCAAGAAACTGTATACAGTACTAGCAATTCCACCTTAAAATAGCAGCAGACAATAAGAACAATAAAAAAGAAAAATAACCATGGAATAAACTGGAAAAAATAAAGTTACAGACAAAATGATAACCACATGTTAGTAGTAATGCCGAGAGGAACAGCTAGGCACGGGTGAAAAAGATGGGGAGAAAATATTTTTTTTTTTTTAAAGTTATAGGAAATAAATGTTTTAAGATGACTAATTGTTTGAATTAAACATTAAAATAGGCCTACATAAAAGTGCCAAAGCTGGGGATTGCCCATAGACCCCACGCTTCTTTTCTACATTGAGCGGTAAACATGAATGCACCTTTCAAGATTAACTTTTCAAAACTTTCCATAACTTGGAAAGATGGTAGAAGTTTTTGAGCATGTCCTCTTAGAGGCCTCCATTGTCTAAAATAACTTTATACTGTAGAGGATAAGCTGGTGACTGAACTTTATAATAGTATGTTTAGGTTTAGGTTTAGAGGTAAAATGTTTTAGTCGCGGAAAAAAAAATCAAGGGTTGTGACAGGATTTGAACCCAGGACCCTGGGATTGGAATGCAAGTACCTAACCTATCAACCTACAGTCACACTAGACACTGTAATACTACTTCTGCTTATTTTTTAGTATAAAATATGCACTAATTTAATTAGGTTCATTCATGGAGAAAAATTGTTTACGCACGATGCTGACCTGTTTCCAAAAATAACTTTCCATTCATTTGTTCCCATAATGGATATCCATTTATGCATATCTCCTCCTTTTGCTAAATAATCAAAAGAAACCAACTAACCTTTGGGAAATAATCTGTACCAAGTGGCGTATAGCTATATTATTTTATTTAAGAATTCATCTACTGTTAAAGGTCAAACATTTTAATGAATATGTTTAACAAAAGTTAGATCTAAGTTATAAATATATACAAACATTTACGTACACTGTGTAGACATGATATTCAGAAACTGATAATATGCCTACGCCCTACGGAAGCTTGGCTACCATATGTCTAAAGATGTCCCAATATTACACTATCTTTATCTTGAATATTGAGATGTACAGCACGACGTCATCAAGCATGATCATATAAATATTAATTTATCTATTTTATTGAAGATCAGGAAGTTTGAACCGGACCCACACACAGCCCCTCCTAGCCAATCATATTTTGATAGACCTACCACAGCTTCAGTGTTTACCGGCTTAAAAGAAAGCAAAAAAAAAGTTAAACGGAGTGATACATTATAGTGTTCCTTACCTGTCTGGTCGCCATATACTTTGCGTCTTGTAAGTATCTGTAAGATGGGTAGAAGCCATAGGTAGCCTAGAACTTTCGCCATTTTCTACCTCGTTTTACCTTGTTTTGAACCGATGAAAAGGGTCCAGACCTACACGTCGGAAGACAGTATCAGTGTGAAAATCTATTTTGGGTGGAAGTAAGTACACAATAGACTGTTAATGACGTCCGCTTATTGTCCGAACTCCACCAACCGTCTGTCCGTCAAAATAATAGCTTAGTGGAGCGACTTCATAATATATTTTGTGCCTTTAATTCCTTTGTTTAAAAGGCGGTATGAATTCCTTTATTGTTATTAGTATTAATATTAGCATTTTCACTAAGTACACATTATAAAAAGGTGGGCATTGGTGGAAAAAGAGGCACTGCTCATAATTGTCCAATCACGTGTTATTTCCTTTCACAATATGCACTAAACCTTGACTAAACCATGACAGGCCAATTATTGCGTACACAAAAATACAATTTGACATCGTCCTTGCTAGTTGCCTATTAAACAAAGTAGGATTACCGTACCTCGTTTAAGATTCATTAACTTTTGACGTAGGCCCCTATTGTATATATAAAATTCAGTCGTAGGTCCTGCGTGTACACGTACTGGGACATCGAAAAACAATTAATGTGATAAGAAACGTTTTATTGCAAGATATTTTTCGTCAGGAAACTCAATAGGAATGATGCAGGCGCCGATCCAGCGGGGGTGGGGGGACATGAGAGCCCGTGTTCCCCCCTCCCCCCGTCGGTCAAGCCGAAAAATAAAAAAGAGGGAGAAAAATTTGATTTAAAGAGAGGAAAGGGGGGAAAGGGAGTGCACCCATGAGTTCAGTTGCGATCCAGCAGTGGGAGAAAGGAGAGCTCGATTGTTTGCCAATTATTTACACCAACCATGGTGGGGTGGAGGTGGGCGTGGCGACGTGAACTTCATATTGTGCCACCCCCCCCCCCCCCCCCCAGTCAGAAAATCTCTGGATCCGCCCCTGTGATGGTTTGCCCCGCCTGACGTACCGCATTGAATACTCAGTACCGGTACGTCTCCAAAAAAATACAAGTGATGATTGAATTCAAATTATCATTGCAGTACTTGCTGCTACTGGCGATTGAACTCAACCCTATTTCTTCCTCTCGTTTTACTCCTGCACTTTTGGAGTCCTTAGGGGGAACCAGAACCCTCCACTGTCGTAGGTCCAATGGTTTTGATTCAAGTAGCAGACGACGATTATCTGGATCTTATGAGCTCGATTCTCGCCGTAATGGCTTGCGATTTTTTTTTTCAAAGGTTCTTTAATAATAGAATAATGTACAGACATTATATGCAATGGAATATTACACACTTTGTCAGTGGCAGGTTCAAGGGGTCCCAACCGGCACGCCCCCCCCCCCTCCGAGTCCCCTTAAAATTTTCACAATTATTTTTTTTAATGGAGAAAAAAAAGGTCTAAGAGTGGCCATCTAGAGATGTCAAAATCATAAATTCCCTTACCTCTCGACCATCAATCTGTGAAAGTCCTCCCTGTGAGCCCCCCCCCCCCCTCCTCTATTTCGAATTCCAGGATGACTGGGTGAAAATTTGTGTAGACACATTCTCAACAAAAATAAGCAAAATAAATATGCTGCTTTTCAATCATTTTTGGGAACAGTGAAGTGACGAGTGTGAAGATACGATTAAAACATTTTTTTTAACTTTAACCAAAACTTTCTGTAACATGCCACTGTTGCGCCTTTCGAGTCTTTACGACAAAAATCGGTAAGTATAACTAATTTAACTACAGTTAATTTAAATATCTATTTTTGCAAAGTCATCTTATAATAATAGCATCATTGGTAGACCTACGTGAGTTGCACTGGAACAACCGCCTTGAAATGCAAAACTTACTTAAACTATAGGCCTATGCATGCAATGCAACTATTGACGTTATAAATAGCCTTATTGTTTCTCATCTATAAGCGAGGCACAACCTTATAAAAGGTGTGCAACAAAGCAACGAAAATCAGTATAAAGTTTATTAGGCCTACTGTGATGAAATGAAACATGAGATTACTGCAGTAGAACAAGTATTAATAATAATAATAATATAAAAGGGGTTTACAAAAAAGAGAAAAAGAAAATTATAAGTATTGTATATTTAAATTAATAACATAAATTAATCTAATAACATAAATTCCCATAAGAAAATGTTAATTATACAATAGAAAAATATAACATATTTCGTTTCATTCTTTCATTGCAGTGATTAAAAATAATTTTCAATGTTTATCGAAAACTTTATTCGCAATAATATGATTCACGGGCGTTATACATTGTATGTTTCTGCGAATCACCTTCTAAACTTTTGCACGCAATGCTATTGTTAGCTGGTTGAAAATTCAGTGACTCAGCAGACACTATAAGCCAATCGTCAGTTATCTATTGCACGCAGGCAATCATTGATATAGGGAGGTAAAATTCAATGTATGCAAGCTAAAAAATTGTGGAATGAACCGTAACAGTACTACAAAGCAAAATATAAATAAAGATAA